TCCTCACCAAGCCGATTGCTCACGGCAAACCACTCGATCCTTGACGTGAGAAGGCGCCTCAAGCAGACTGGGATCTGTGGATGCAAGAACACCTACTTTCAACGACCTGCGTGTAGGCCTTGTCCCAAAGTTTTGACCGTACAAAGGCGGACGGGGAGGATGAGGAGGAGGAGGAGGACGAGGACGAGGAGGGCGAAGAGGAGGAGGACGAGGAGGAGGACGAGGAGGAGGAGGAGGTGGCCACAGCCAGTCCTCCCTCCCAGTCGTGGCCCCCGAGGGAAAAACGATCGCGCGACCCCCCGACTGCGACAGCCGCCTCCGCCAGCGGCGGCCACGGCGGGAGGGCGTCTGAGCTCCGCCCGAACGACGAGACAAGACAAGACAAGAGCCCGCGTCAAGGCAGCTACGAGGGTGCGGCGGGTGGGCGCCAGGGCGTTCGCATGGGCTGGCCGCTCAGAAGCTGGAGACGGGCTGTGTGATCTGGGGTCGGGAACTGGCTGCCAGTCGGAGAGATGGGAGCGGATGCCGGAACCGCAAGTCAGAGAGGTGGGAACCAGAGCTCCGCCCAAAGGGTTCTCCAGAATCCTGCCGTCCAGTCAACATTGATAGTGATAACTGCCTACCAGGCCACCCCAACCTACAGTGGAAACCCATGCCCAGAGGCACCCTGCTTGCCTCCAAGGCGCCCTGGGCGTCCTGGGTTTCAATGGTTTTGTTACGGCAAACGTGACGTTCCCACACCAAAAATGAATGGACGTCCAGGGGTCTCTGGGCTGGGTTTCGTGTGGACGGTTTCTCGTGGTCGAGCTCCTAGTGTAACCCAGATTTCGGGTTGGGGGGGTACGGGTTCCACATGTGTTTTTCCAATGTTCACCCACGCCCCCCACTGGGAATGGAGGGCAAATAGGGGCCTTCGGGTTGGGTTGGAGGGCTTTGGCGGGTGGTGACATCAGAATGAGCAATTTTCCAAGGTTGCCTTTGAATCCTTTCCCTTCAGCCCATCCATGGCCACCCTTGCGTCCTTATCGCGCAACCTTACTATCAATGTCCACTGTAGGCAACCGCGTGTGAGCCTTACCCCTGCGGGTCGGATTTCTGGACTGCCTGCTGGGGCTCAGGATCTGAAGGGTGTCTGCAGCCAAGTGAGCCCCAGCGGGAGGGTCCGAGACCCCAACCCAATGTGGACCCGCAAGAGTAGGCTGCGCAACTAGCAACATATGCCAGCTGGTCGGGCCCTGGGCTGGTTGCCATAAATTCCGTTCTCCTTCTCCTCCTTCCCCGTCCTCCTCCTCCTCCTCCTCCTCTTCCTCCTCCTCCTTCTCCTTCTCCTCCTCTCCTCCTCCTTCCTTTTCCGCCTCCTCGTCCTCCTCTTCCTCCTCCTCCTCCTCCTCCTCGTCCTCCTCCTCCCCTTCCTCCTCTCTCCTCCTCTCCTTCTCCTCCTTTTCGTCCTCCTCGTCCTCCTCATCCTCGTCCCTCCTCCTCTCCTCCTCCTCCTCTCCTCCCTCCTCCCCCTCCTCGTCGTCCTCCTCCATCCTCCTCCGTCCTCCTGCGCCTCCTCCTCCTCCTCCTCTCCTCCTCCTCATCCTCCTTCCTCCTTCTCCTCCTCCTCATCTCCTCCTCCTCGTCCTCATCGTCCTCCTCCTCCTCCTCCTCCTCCTCCTCCTCCTCCTCCTCCTCCTCCTCCTCTCCCTCCTACGTATTCTCCCCCCTCCTCCTCCATTCCTTTTTCTTGTAAATGACTTCTCCCTGTCGCACCCCGAGACCAGTTTTCAGGGCGGGCCGGGCGTTTCGCCTGAGACTTCCTAACCATGTATGACTCTGAAGCTTAAACATGGCTCCTGTCTCGCAGATGGAGGGCGGTTCCTTTTCAACATGTGGCTCTCGTCTTAGCGCCGCGCACATTCTTTAAAACAAATCCTTTCACGGATTGAGGGCGGGCCGTTTTCAAAAAGTGGCTCTCGCCTTGGCGCCGCGCGCATTCGTTCATACAACTTGCGAGAGCTTCACACATTGATGCAGACCCTTTTCAAACTGTGGTTCTCGCCTCAGCGCCGCGTACATTCGTTTAAACAATGTGCACAAGCTTCAGCTTCACGGATTGACGGCGGCTCCTTTTCAGACTGTGGCTCTCGCCTGAGCGCCGCGCACACTCCTTTAAAACATTTGGAAGAGTTTCACGGGTTTTATGATCAACGTACCAGGGAATGTGTTTAGGAAGGATTCAGGATTATGCGGGTGCAACAATTAAGTTGGTTCGCGGTGTTCAAGTCCCAGAAATGGTGTTCTGGCAAGATTCCGGATCGTCAAGACGCAGCAATCAGGTTGATCCGTGGCGTTGAAATCCCGAGAACAATGTTTTGGCATGCTTCATGGTCTTCAAAGGTGTCTTCCAACGAGGCAGTTCTCTCAATGGAATTGAGCCGTTGTAGGAGTTTATGAAGAGGGAGCTTGGAGGGAGGGTTAATTCCAGCATCGTTAATAACTCGATCGTTTACACTGGTCCCCCTCCTGGGAACAGCTTGCGCTAGGTAAAAGTCTGGTTCATGACGGCCAGGAGCCTGGAAAGGAATTTAGGACTCGCACGCTGGTCCTCCTCCTTCTCCTCCTCCTTCTCCTCCTGTTCCGCCTCCTTCTCCTTCTCTTCCTCCGCCTCCTCCTCCTTCTCCTCCTCCTCCTCTTCCTCCTCCCCCTCCTCCTCATCCTCCTGCTCCCCCTCCCCCTTCCCCTCCCCATCCGCCTCCCCCTCGTCATCCTCCTTCTCCTCCTTCTCCTCCTCCTCCTCTGCCTCCTCTGCCTCCTCCTCCTCTTCCTTCTCCTCCTCTTCCTCCTACTCCTCCCCTTCCTCTTGCTCCTTCTCCTCCTCCCTCTCTTCCTCCTGCGCCTCCCCTCCCTCCTCCGCCTCCTCCGCCTGCTCCTCCTCCTTCGCCGCCGCCTCCGCCGCCGACTCCGCCTCCGCCTCTTCCGCCTCTTCCGCCTCTTCCGCCTCCTCCTCCTCCTCCTCCTCCTCCTCCTCCTCCTCCTCCTCCGCCCTCCTCCCTCCTCCCTCCTCCCTCCTCCCTCCTCCCTCCTTCCTTCCTTCCTTCCTTCATTCCTTCCTTCCTTCCTTATTCCTTCCTTCCTTCCGTCCTAGTTTCCTTCCTTCCCTGCTTCGTCCGTCCAATTGTCATTCCGTCCTTCCTTCCTTCCGTCCGTCCGTCCGTCCTCCCTCCCTCCCTCCCTCCCTCCCTCTCTCCCTCCCACCTCTTCCTTCCCTCCCTCCCTCCCTCCCTCCCCTCCCTTCTCTGCCTCCTCTCCCCCCCCCTCCTCTCCCTCCACTCCCCTGCCCTCTCCTCCATTCCCCTCCCTCCCTCCCTCCCTCCCTCCCTCCCTCTCCTCCTCTCCTCCTCCTCCTCCTCCTCCTCTTCCTCCTCCTCCTCATCATCCAACTCGTCCTCCTCTTCCTCCTCCTCCTCCTCCTCCTCCTCCTCCTCCGCCCTCCTCCTTCTCCTCCGCCTCCTCCTCCGCCTCCTCCTCCTCCTTCTCCTTCTCCTCCCTTCGTCCTCCTCCTTCTCCTCCTCCTCCTCTTTCTCCTCCCCCTCCTCCTCCTCCTCCTCCTCCTCCTCCTCCTCCTCCTCCTCCTCCTCCTCCTCCTCCGTCCTCCTCCTCCTCCTCCTCCTCCTCCTCTCCTCCTTCGTCCCCCCCCCCTCCTCCTCCTCCTCCTCCTCCTCCTCCTCCTCCTCCTCCTCCTCCTCCTCCTCGTCCTCCTCCGTCCTCCTCATTCCCCTCCTCCATTCCTCTTCCGTATAGATCACTTCTCCCTGTCGCACACCGAGGCTTGTTTTTTCGGGTGGGTCGGGCGTTTCGCCTGAGACTTCCTCGCCGCTTATGACCGTGAAGCTCGCCTCAGCGCCGGGCACATTCGTTGTAAACAATTGCAGGAGCTTCACGGATTGAGGGCGGTTCCTTTTCAAAATGTGGCCATCGTCTGAGCGCCACGTACATTCGTTGTAAGCAAATGCAAGAATGTCACGGATTGAGGGCGGGCCGTTTTCAAACTGTGGCTCTCGCCTCAACGCCGCGCACATTCGTTTTCAAATGTTGCACGAGTTTTACGGAGTGAGGGCGGTTCCTTTTCAAAATGCGGCTCTCGCCTTTTCGCCGCGCACATTCGTTGTAACAAGTTGCAAGAGTTTCACGGATTCCCAGGATCAACGTACCCGACATGGTGCTTTGGAAAGCTTCAGGACCGTGAGGGCGCCACAGTTACGTTGATTCGTGGTGCCGAAGTCCCAGGAATGGCTTTCTGGTGCGATTCAAGATCGTCAAGACGCAGCAGTCAAGTTGATCAGCGTTGGAGTCTGGAGAATAATGTTTTGGCATTATTCAGGGTCTTCAAACGGTTCTCTTCCAACGAAGTAATTCCCTCAGTAGCAATGAACCGTTATAGAGGCCTATGAAGAGGGGGCTTGGAGGGAGGGTGTATTCCGACATCGTTGATGACTCTTGGGTTTACACTGGTCCTCCTCCTCCTCCTCCTCCTCCTCCATCCTCTTCCTCCTCCTCTCTCCTCCCTCCTCCCTCCTCCCTCCTCCCTCCTCCTCCTCTTCCTCCTCCTCCTCCTCCGCCTCCTCCTCCTCCGCCTCCTCCTCCTCATCCTCCTCCTCCTCCATCCTTCCCTCCTCCTCCTCCTTCTCGTCCTCCTCCTCCTCCTCCCAGCCCCCCGACGCCAAAACAACGAAGAAAGATACCACCCCGAACCTCGGCGGCGACGACGGCGGCGACAAAGACAGAGACACTGGCGACAGAACAGGGCAAGCAACCTCAATCCTCGACCCCGATTCGGGCCCGTGGGCGACAGAACACGGCAAGCAACCTCAATCCTCGACCTCGCTTCGAGCCCACGCCTCCTCCTCCTGCTTCCCTCCTCATCCTCCCTCGACTCCTCCCCCATTGCCGTACCCTCCCTTGCCTCCTCCTCCTCCTTCCTCTTCATCCTGCGCTGTCTCCCGTCCCTCTGTGCCTTGGAGCTCTGAGGCTCTCGCTAGTGCCCTGGGATCAATTCGGGATTGCCACTCAGTCTTCGGTGGCATCTCATGGGAGCCTCCTGCACCATCTCGTCTGCTCTGGCGAATCGACGCTGATCGACGCGAAGCCGAGGCTAATCGACGCTACAGCGACGCTAACCAACGCTAAATCGGCGCTCTCTCATCGTCCCTAGACGCTAACCGGCGCTAAGTACATCATTAAGAGGGTGCACGAGGCTCCCGTGATCTGCTACAGAACACGGTCCGCTCGCACGCTGGAGATCGTGGGGATGTGCCCTGGAATCCGGGCCCTCGGGCCTCATCGGCGAGTGGCATGTCCCCCCTCCCTAAACTCGGCGGTGGACAAACCTCCCTTTAGTAGACCTCCCGTTAGTGAAAACGGCCTGGGACCGAAACCGACGGACCTGGACCCGCAAACATGACGGCCGCGACGCCCTCTCGCGAACCGAAAACGGCCAATTCCTTAATCGACGTGTCAGGGTAGGAGGTCTGTCCAACCCCGATAATGAACCCCTCCCCCGGGAGCCCGGTCCGGTCGATTTGGAGGGGTGGGGTCCCCCTGGGACCGCCCGAGCGCAGCACGGGGGACGGGGGGCTCCGAGGCAGGCCACGAGGGCGCCAAGAGGCCCTCCGGACGGTCCAAGAGAGCCACAGGCCCCCGAAGGATCGATCCAAAACGCCCCCGCTGGCCTCCAAACGGCCCAAGAGGCCCCAGGTGGCCCCAAGACGCCCTCGAGAGGCGTCCCACGCCCGCCGCAAAGAGCAAACATCGCCTCCTTCCCGTAGGAAGACCGACAGCCCAAGAAGCCTTCTGCATCGCCCCAAGACGGCCCAAGGCCCCCCACCAAAGGGTTCCCGGACGACCCAAGAGGGCCCCAAGGCCGCGCCAGAAGCCCCCAAGGGGGCCCAGCGGGGGGCCCAGGACACTCCCAAGAGAGGGCCCAGTGGAGGAGCCAGAGCTGACATGTCGAGCCGTCGACCCCCGACTGCTCCCCGGCGGCCCCAAGAAGCCCCCCACAGGCTCCCAGGGAGCTCCGAGAGGCCCGAGAAGGCCCCCAGGAGGCCTCCAGGAGGCCCCCAAGCGGTCGAGAAACTGCCTCCCAATCGCCCCCGAGACGCCTCCCACGAGGTAGTGTCTGCCACCTGGGAGCCAGGCGTTCGCCATATCACCATAGCGCTACCTCTCCTCCGATTCCTCGCCCGTGTCCTCCCCTCCCCTCTTTGTACCCTTACTCCCTCCTCCGACTCATTCCTTCTTGCCTCCCCCTCGTCCCTGGGAAACCAATAGGTACGATCCAAACTGATCGTAAACATGCGCGACAAGGATGCAAGCCCCAGGGACGCCAGTGTTGAAGTTCTTCGGGCGCGGCGGGCCATCAAGAGTAGTTAAAGATGGACCGGCGAGGCACGGATGCAAAGGTAACTGTGGGAATGTTACTCGTCTTTGCCATCGTCGGGCGTTGGCAAAACTGGGTTCAGTGGGACCTGGTTTAGCGATGTGTACTGGGAGACGCCCCCCCCGCCCCATTGGAATAGCCGGAACTGCCGTCACCCGAACAAAACACAAGCTATACAGCAGACTTGGTTTAGAGATTCTGGCCAAAAGGCTCCGGGGCCCTACCACTAACCTTAGGTCGGGCATGTGTTCCTACAGGCGGATTTGTAGCAAAAAAACAAACATACCCCCAAAATGCTCCAACATGGTCCAAAAACGGTCGAACAGTCGTCCCAGACGATTTTTGACTGTTCATATAAATATTCCTCCTGTAGAGGGACAGGCCCGATTTAACACGAACGATACTGATAATGATGCTGCTGATGATGATGACGATGATGCTGATGCTGATGCTGATGCTGATGATGATGATGATGATGATGATGATGATGATGATGATGATGATGATGATGATGATGATGATGATGATCGCCTTGTCAGGTAGCGGGCGAGCCGCTGTGACAAGGCGTTGGCCCCGCAGGGACTCTCCGAGCCCTGCTGTGAGCTCGCTGGGTAAGCCTTCTAGGGCCAAACCGACTACGGATATTGGCAGAGAGACACACGCAAGCGCCGTTACGACATAGCACCGACGCCGTTACGACAGAAGCGTTCCATGCACTCGACCGAACTGTCGCAATCGATGAAGGGTTCTGCGGCCCTACCACTGACCGGGTCCCCTTACCTGGGGTCCTGGCTATACCCGAATCATCGGCTTCGGCTGTGCCGAGGCTGGTGCTCCCCAGGCCTCGTCCAGGCAGGACTGCGAGGCAACTCTCCAGCCGATGGCGAGGAGGGCCTCCCTGGCAACCCAGCGCGTCGAAAGCTACGGCAGACCTGGTCTAGTGACTCTGGCCAATTTAGGGGCTCTGGGGCCCTACCACTGACCGGGTCCCCTCACCTTGGGTCCTGGCTGACTACCTACCGGACCACCCCAACCCAACCCGAAGACCCGAATTTCGGGTTGGGGGGGGTACGGGCTTCATATGTGTTTTCTCGATGTTCCCCGAACCCCCCACCCACTGGAAATGGAGGGCAACTTCGGGCCTTCGTGTTGGGTTGGGGTGGTTTGGTAGGTGGTGACTGGCTATACTGCAGGGGCCCTGGGACACACAAACAAATACACACAAAGAATCAGATTCCCCGTATTTTCCTATATTTTCGGGGTTCTTGTCTTCCCCCCCACTTCAACAAAGATGTTCCCGCATTTTCCTGGGAGTGGACGATTCATTGTGTCTGTCTGTTTTTTCCCCTGCTGATTCGTGTTGGGTTGGGGTGGTTTGGTAGGTGGTGGCTGGCCATGCCCGACCATCGGCTTCGACGGCCCCGCTGCCGGTGCCTCCCAGGCCTCGTGCAGCAGCTCTTCCGCCGTGGCGGGGAGGGCCTCCCAAGAGACTTCACAGCGTCGGAGGCGGCAGCTGGGATTCGGTCGGTCATGTCCCCGTGCAGGCGGATGGGGACGAACCGTTCAGACATGATCCCAAAAGTAGTTTTCCAATACTAGAAGCATCGTCTCCCCCCCCAAAAATGTTCGGGGCGCATTCCTCCCGTAGAGGGACATGCCCGACTTAAAACTAGAACGCGTCAAGGGCAGAGTCGTTGATTGGATGCGCCTTGGGCTGGCGCCCTTGATCATAAGCAGCAACACCAGTCAGGAGGGGAACGTTGACAAACTCGACAGCCAATGCCAGACAGGGGACGGCGGGGCAACGACGGACAGGGAAACCTGACCACAATGGTACTACTCCCCTCTGCACCGGCTGGAACAACTGGCGGATTACAGAGACCCTGACACACAGGGTCAGTCCACAAGAAACCTTCAACAAGAAACCCAACCCTGAGCCCCCAGGACGTCCATCGATGTTTGGTGTGGGAACGTCACGCTTTCCATTGCAAAACCATCGAAAACCAAGACACACAGGGCACCTTGGAGGCGGGCAGGGTGTTTCTTGGCATGGCTCCCCACTGCATTGCCATCTCATGGGAGTGAATGTTTTACTTCCGCGGCTTCCGCTGGCGGATGCACCCTCGTGTTGTCTCCGCAGCCTTCCGCCGGGGAAGGGGTGGCAACCTCTTCGGTCCTGAAGTCGAGCCCATTTTCTGAACACCCCAGATGATGCCCCAACTCTGTCTCAGTGCCCCAGCTGGCTCAAAGGTATCCGAAATTCTCCCTCACAACGAAGACGACGACGACGACGAGGACGAGGATGACGACGACGAGGACGAGGAAGATGACGATGACGCGGACGAGCACGAGGTCGAGGACGACGACGACGACGACGACGACGACCTCAGCGTCCACGCTTCCCCTCGCGGATGCGGGCGGTGGCGGCGGCCCCCGTCCTCGCCCGTCCCTTTCGGGCAGCGCGGCGGCCCGGACACGGTGAGTGGAACGTCCCTGGCCCCCGGAGGCGCAGCGGGTCGTCGTCCTCGATCGTCGTCGTCGATCGCCGTCCCACACACGATCGCATCGTGAGAACAATCACGACCGATACAGTCGGGGCGTTGACCTAAGGAACCCAAAATAAGAAACGAGGCCTATTTGTTCCATTAGGTAAATGTCGACGTCCCACTGGAAGGCTAAGGAAAACCGAAGGCAAACTGAGAAACAATTAAGCAACACGGAGCCCCTCCCCAACGCAAAGGGTTCCTTCTTCAGCGCCCCGACTGTACAGTCTTAACAATTCTTCAACCATTCTCAGCCTCTGGGGCCCTGGCTGGGCCTTGGGGCCGTCAGAAACGATCCGGGACGACACGCTGGCACTGGGGACCACCTTGAAGGGGCCCCAGGACACACAAATGAATACACACAAATACAAACATTCCCCATATTTTCCGATATTTTATAGGGGGGTTTTGTCTTCCCCCACTTCCCATATTTTCCACATTTTCCTGAGAGTCGACGATCAATTGTGTCTTTGTGTTTTTTCCCCTCCTGACACCCGTGTCACAAAACACGGCCCAGAAGACCCGCGCGGGCGGGGCGACGGGCCGCGGACCGTCTTTCCTCGCGGCGGGCCGCCCGCGCCCCGCCCCGCCGCCAAACGCGCGACACACTGCGGCGCGAGGGCGCGGGCGACGCCGGCCGACGGGCGATGACGGGGCGCGCGGGCCCGTCGTCGCAGGAAGCAGCGACACAGGGCAGGCCCGCGGGGGAGACGAGATGCGGCGCCCCCGGCGCGCGCGGGCGGCATGCCGCTGTCGCCTGCGCAGCGCCGCCGATGCATCCGCGCGCGCGCGTGCCCCACTGCTCCGCACCGGGGCGGATCGCCTGCGCGGGTGCGGCGGGCGCGCGCGGTGCCGGCGCGCGGCTCTGGCGGGCGCGCGCAAGCCTGCGGCGGGCGCCCGCGCCGCGCGGGCGGGCGCCCGCGCCGCGCGTGGTCGCGCCGACCGCCCGCGGGCGGAGCGACGCGCCGCGGACTGCTGCCCCGTGGCGGGCCATCCGCACACCTCCCTGGCACCGCGCGCAGCCTGCTGCGGCGCGGGGGCGTGAGAGACCCCGCGCTAGCCGGGCGCGCGCGCGCGACGCAAGCGGGCGCGCGCGGGCGAATGCAACCCCGCGCGACCCGCTGGACATCGCGCCGCGCGGATGCGCGAGCGGCTGCGACGGCCATCTACGAAGCCGCGTGCGGACGCTGGTCGGCGCCCCCTGTCGGGTTGCGGAGCCAGGGCGCCGCGTGCCACCATGGCAGCGATGCGCTCTAGCTCGTTGGCCAGCACATGCCGCAGGAAGGCCTACGACTTCTAGCCCCTGGCGAGCTTGACTCCACCGACGGTGGGGCCGCCGCCCACGATCCCATGCGCGGCCGCGGCGCATGGTGCGCGCGGCATGAACTCTCGCACTGCCAACGCCATCTTTCGAAAGCGCGTCACGGAAGCCTTCTGTAACCGCCGCGCTCGTGACGCTGGCGAACCACGGGCCGTCCCGGGCGCCTTTGACGAGGCATTGTTCAACAGCGTGCGCCGGGAAATGCGCGACGAGGCGCGCCAGCAACGGCGCTGCCAGGACGTGGCACGCCCCCCGTTCTTGCGCCTCGCAAGCCGAAGGCCGAGTGCCGACTCGGTCGCACAAGACCGACGCCGGGGCCGCGGCGTCGAATGCATTTGAACTGGCGGCTGAAATCAGGAGGGCCTCCGACGGGAGGCGGAGCAGAAAGATGCGCGCCGGAGCGAACAACAGCGCGAAGCGCAAGTCCTCCCCACAGCGGGCCCGCAGCGAGCTGGCGTCTGGCCGCGCAAGGTCTTCCAGGCCAATACGTATTCGTGATGGTCTCCTCCGCATGGCTCGAGAACCATATGAGAGAACACGTCGCACGGCAAGGCTGCGCAAGCCTTGGTGCGGGAAATGGAGAAGGCACTCAGGTTAATTAACGTCCTGAGGGCTAAAACCAATTCGGTCTCCTTGCGATAACTAATACTGTATGCTGAAAGCCCTGCGAAAGGTCCACACCGATGAGAATTATGAAAAGACAATGTTGGACTCACGAGGACCTCCTAGTTAGCAGTTCGCGTGCTCGGGCCAGCCCATCCGCTGCAACCAACCTAGAACTCTCAGGGCTCAAGTTTCCAAATTTCGCCAACATGGCTATGGGTGATCGCGGGGGTCTCATGGGCCAACTTGGGCGTTCTGAAACCCGAAATGGCGAGCACGTAAAACCACGAACACCAAATTACGTACGTTAACTCCTGGCGCCTGTTCCAGGGTTCCGGGGCTCTCGGGGGGTCCCATGGGGCCCTCTTGGAGCCCACCTTGGGCCAAGGTGGATGCTATGCTGGGCCAAATTGGCCGTCTTGGATGCCATATTGGCCGATCGCCGATGCATCGCCGATGCATCGCCGACGTCGGCGATGCATCGGCGCCGTCGGGGAGGAGGAAATCGGTTTCCGCATCGCCCCGCATCTACTCGGACCCCATCTGAGAGGCCCAGATGTACGATCACTGCCTGACGCACAGAAACCTCATAAGCATGAACTTTCGGAGGTCCGCGCGGACTTCTTGGATCGGCGCTGGCCCACCCTCCCTGACGCGCGGAGCGCGCCAGGGGTGGCGCCAGAGGCGCTGCCACTGGGGCCCAGCGCCGCTCCCCAGAACCCGCCCGGGCCTCCAAACAATTATGCTTAAGCAACTTGTCAGAGTGCGGGGGCCGAACGGTCATTCTGTCCCCGGGTACGTGGCCGAATTGGGGATCCGCGGCGAAGATTCTGCTCCTTGTTGCGTCGTCCCCCCCGCGACCCGCCCGCGACCCATCCGCGACCCAGCCCGCGACCCCGGCGACCCACCCGCGACCCACCCCGCGACCCACCCCGCGACCCACCCCGCGACCCACCCCGCGACCCACGCCGCGACCCACTCACATGGCTTTTGCGAAAACCGGCGCCTGCGGCGGGCTAGTTGTATACTTTGCGGCGGGCTTCTGCAGAGCCTCGCAGACCGCGGACGTCCTCGCCGCCCTCTCACTCTCATCCGCGACTGCGGGGTGCTACGTTATTTTTGGAACTGTGCTGGACGCCGCTATGGACGGGGGGCACTGTCGCTGGGTGGACCGCCTCAGCCCGCTCAATCGCGACGCTCACGCGCCCTGTGGCTGCGTGCCCCTGAAGCTTCTCTGGAGGCGCCCAGGGAGCCACCAAAAACATGATTCCCAATCTTGTCGTTTCACATGTTTGGGACGTTTGTCCTCCCCTCCGTGTCCTATCATCTTACATATGTCATTTCCTGGAAATCGAGAAATACTTCGCCTGTGCCTTTGGAGGCCTCCTAGATGGGGTCGGAAAATATGGGGAAGGGGGATCGCGCCGCATTGCCGATGAGTCGGCGATGCATCGGCGATGCACCCGCGATGCATCGCCGGCGTCTGCGATGCACCAGTGACGTCGACGTGAAGCAAATCGGGCTCCGCATCGAGCCTCATCGGCGATGTATCCGCGATGCGGCGCGATCCTCCGACTACTCGACCCCATCTGGGAGGCCTGGAAATTGTTCT